TGATGGTTATTTTTATTATAAACATTATAATTACTATAATGTTATGAACATTAGTAACAACAAAATAAGATAATGTAAAATATTTTCCTAAATTAAAGAAAAGGGTAAACAGACTACACAGGCCGTACAAGTACAAGTGTAGCCATCTATGTGTAAAAACAATTAAACAAGTAAACTCACAGTGGGCCTGTCACGTATACGTGACACCCGGCGCGAATGGGTTAAGATAAGGAAGAAAAATAGTCAAAGTATTTTCAGATGATATGAAAGAATAATATTTATAAGAATGAAAGTATTCTGTTCCCTTCAATTTATTGTCAAAGATACATGCTTGAGGTGAAATTAGGTGATATGTGATAGAGTCCCATAACCACTCTATATTTTTCAGTACAAACTTCTATTGATCTTTTCATAACTATTCATTGATTTAATGCTGTTGTTGAGTCTCTGAATGAAGTAAAATATAATTGTCTTTTCAAAGGGGGTGTCGCGAGTGTGTATGTTGGGCAGCCTCTGGATACCGTCAAAGTCAAAATGCAGACCTTTCCCAACCTCTACCGTGGCATGGTAGGATGTTTCTCGCAGACTCTGAAACGGGATGGTGTCAGAGGTCTCTATGCAGGCACAGTTCCCGCCCTTGCTGCAAATATTGCTGAAAATTCAGTTCTTTTTGCGGCTTATGGTGTTTGCCAGAAGGCTGTGGCATATTCTACTGGTGTGCAGGTTAGGCATTTTTTATTTGCTTATTTTTTAAAAATTTGACCTTCCCACTTTTTTTTGGAATGGTAATTTAAGTGTTATTGGTAGATAAAATATTAGATAATCATATAGCAATATTGTGATGCATTCACTATTATTATTGTTTATCATCATCATCATCATCATCATCATCATCATCATCATCATCATCATCATCATCATCATTAACCTTTTCAGTAATAGTATTTTATTGATTTATAATATTTTATATTTGCTTTCATCATTATTTTCATAAATCACCCCATGAAAATGACGTAAGTAAATCAAATTTCTTAATCAACAGAAAGTAGAGGACCTTTCGACATTTGCAAATGCATCTGCTGGATTCTTTGCAGCATTTTTTTCCTCTCTAACCCTCTGTCCAACGGAACTGGTCAAGTGTCGCCTACAGGCTATGCGGGAAATGGCAACAATACAGAATAAGGAACCTGTAAGTAATATGGACAATATGAATGATACATGCAATATACTGTATATTTAATGATTTATAGTAAATAATTTTTTTTTTTAAACATGTATGCAAAGGGCAAGGGTAGGCTATTAAGGACTGAACTTGATGAGGTAGGGTAGGGTAAGGTAAGGTAAGGTAGGGTAGGGTAGGGTAAGGTAAGGTAAGGTAAGGTAGGGTAGGGTAGGGTAGGGTAGGGTAGGGTAGGGTAGGGTAGGGTAGGGTAGGGTAGGGTAGGGTAGGGTAGGGTAGGGTAGGGTAGGGTAGGGTAGGGTTAGCTAGGGTGGGGTTAACTAGGGTAGGGTAGGGTAAAGAAACGAAAGGGAAGGGAGGGAAGGGAAGGAGAGGGAAGAGAAGGGAGGAGAGGGAAGGAGAGGAAAGGGAAGGGATATGAGAGAGAGATAGAGATAGAGATAGAGATAGAGATAGAGATAGAGATAGATAGAGATAGAGATAGATAGAGAGAGAGAGAGATAGAGAGAGAGAGAGAGAGAGAGAGAGAGAGAGAGAGAGAGAGAGAGAGAGAGAGAGAGAGAGAGAGAGAGAGAGAGAGAGAAAGAAAGAAAGAAAGAAAAAGGCCCTTTCAAAAATCACACTTTTATTTTGATGCAGGAAAGGCTAGGACCCTGGAAGCTCACGAGACAGATTTTAAAGTCTGACGGTATTCCAGGGCTCTTCCGAGGCCTAACCTCAACCTTCGCAAGAGAAATGCCTGGTTATTTCTTCTTCTTTGGAGGCTATGAGGCCAGTCGAGCGCTCATGACTCCTCCGGGGAAAACCAAAGATGAAATTGGTAAGTTAATGGAACTGGTATATTTTAAAATGCTTTTTTTTAATGATATTTCTTATATATCTTTTTTACGGATAACTTTGTGAATTCTTGGGTTGATGGAAAATATTGTCAGTAAATATATTAACTTATTTCACTGGAAAATAAATTAATTAGATGCGTGTATTTTTCTAAACAGGTCCTCTAAAGACAATGATCTGTGGTGGCATTGCGGGGGTTATTCTTTGGACAGCCATTTTCCCTACTGATGTTGTAAAATCAAGGATACAAGTTGCAGGTTCAACTGAGCCAATGATAAAAGTTACAAAGCAGATCTTGAGAACTGAAGGTGGGTTTTTCTCTTTGTTATCTGTTGCAATAGCCATTATATTACAGATATGAATTGCAAAATCTTCACAAGTTATGACTTTCATTTTTATTAGTGTTTATAGCACATTCTGTTACTATGCAAATATTTGCTCTGATTTCCATAGAGACAGGTAATTAGTGTGAAATGGTAGTCAATTAAAACTTTTGATTTGGATTGTGCTGGGATGGCATGAAATACATGCCATTTCCAATGTGAGATTAGGTCATTGATTTTGTTGATACATATATGGCTCCACCAAGGAGTCAATTACTAGTCATACCCTAATCTTTTGCTATTAGTATTTTAATGATATGATAATCATAATGTACTGATAAAAACTATTTTTTTGCATCTTTTTATATATATATGAATTAAATAGCTGCTTTTCTTTATTGTTAACTTCAAATCATCTATAATTTCTGCCTGTATCTACTTGATACATTTTGCCTAAAATGAGATATTCTACTGGAAGAGGTATTTCTATCAGAAAGGGAAATGTTAATATTGCCTTTTACTTAAACATCCAATATGTATAATGATTTTCTTTTCAGGTGTGGCTGCTCTTTATAATGGGCTAGGTCCCACTGTGGTGAGAACGTTTCCTGCAACTGGAGCACTATTCCTTGCATATGAAGGAACTAAGAAGGTCCTACACAATCTAATGGACTAATAAGATTAATAAAATGGTTGCTGCTGCTGATGTTGAAGTATTCAGATTTTTCAGTGGTTGCCTGACTTATTGGAAATCCACTATTTTGATTTTTTATATTTTGTCATTGTGATTCTTATGTTTTATAAAGTTTAAGCTCAGGATGTTTATCATGTAAATGTATTTGTAAAGCAAGTATTGAATATATGCCTGACTTTTTATAAAGAAGCACATTATATTTCTTGGACATGTATAGTGTTTTATGAGAATTTTTATTCTTCTATCTCATGGAATAGGAGCTTAACTTCTGGTGCTAATTGTAAGAATTCTTTGTGAAGGCAGTGCCTGCAGATTGCACATTATAAATTAAAGGATTAAAAAAAAATAGGTAAACATTTTTACCGTCCACTTTGATTATGTTCTTTTATGTAATTGTAGAATTTTAGTTTTGATAACTGATGCATAATTTCTGATAATCAAGTTATTAATAAGAGACTATATATACTTCCACTTATATAAAGTCATATACAAATTCTACCTAGTTTGTTACACTGATCAGTAACTTTCCAAATTATTCGCCATTTGTTATATGACGAAATACTGATGTTCAGTAACCTAGCATACATAGTTATGCAGGGAATTTGCTCAAAAATAAAAATATTTCAGTGCCAATAATTCATCAGGTAGTAATCTGGTAATGGGTAATGAATGTGATAACTAAGATTTGTGAAGAATGTGAGGTATTTTTCCCCTTATTTTATCTCTGAAACTGGAATATAAGAAGGTTTGTGTTAAACCCCTTCATCCCAGATATTGTACCAGTAGGTTGTCATGTCTCGCAAAGGGTTGTATTTGTCACAACTTTTGACTATGCTGAATTCCTTGCAGTTTACATCATATGGAAATTATTATGATGCTGTTAGACAATGTTGCACAAATTATGTAAAGTATGGCCAGTGTTTTTTTTTTTTTTCTTATTAAAGTGTGTAAGTTTTTGATGTTTTAAATGATATATATACTGATAACTTTTTTGTATAAGAATTGTAAAGTTTTAGACTGTTTTGATATCTAGTCAGTTTTTGATAAATAAATCAAATTGATGTGATTTTGTGTTAATTTGTACCCTTTAAAAAAATTTATGAACTTTTGCAGTACATGTGATTAGTTTAGTGAAGCCTTTCTTGATATTACAGATTTATCATAACACAATATGTAAATTTCATAATTATCACAGTGTCTTGGTATGAAAATATTAGAAAGTATTTTGTTATCTTCATAAAGCAAGAGCTTTATGAAATGTATTTCCTTCTTCACACAGATGTTTTCAATATTATATACTATGCATACACACACACACACACACACACACACACACACACACACACACACACACACACACACACACACACACACACACACACACACACACACACACACACTCTGTTATACTGCTTCCTTGCAGATACACTTTAATGAGCATTTAAAAGTTAATTTCTGCCAGATGTACTTAAATTTTAGTCCTTACTTATTTTACATTTCATCTTGTATTCCTACTTATCATGTCATACACTGAACAAGACAAGGATCATCACAAATTCTTAGTGTGTGGTCAAGCCACTGTGTGTATTTTAGAGGAAGTATCATGCTGCAGTGATCTCTGATGTTGAAGGACTAAAAGATACATTGTCTACATCATTAAAAATAGTCAATGTGCATAGTAGTCACTTAAGGCTCAAGCCACAAAATGCATGCTGTGACTTATCCAGGACTAGTAATGAGTGAACTTGGCTTAATCTTTGGTTTAATTGTGATGAACTTTCCTGTATGGTTCTTGCTAGTCCTGTGAAAAGTAAGTTACATGTACTATTTTTTGTCAAATATTTAAAAGTTACATGTATTATTTTTTTTGTCAAATATCTAAAGTACTTGTTGATGCATAATCGACAGTAATAATTTTCTACTGATGATTGTATATTGCTACCAACTTTGTTTATAAACTGGACAATATATCAGATATTTGTAGAGGTGCACAAATGTGATACCATCTTCAGTTAAAATTTTTGCATCAAATGATACAACTTTTTCAGCAAAGGACTTTCTCCCAAAGTTGGGTATCCTGGTATTCTTGTCACCTTCAGTCTCACTTTGTGCTGTGTCAGTCACTTTTGTTGGGATTTCTTTGAACATTTTTGATGTCGAGTATATACCTTTTCTGAAGGGTATGACTCAACCCACATGAATTCTTCAACTTTGAACCAACACATAAGTTGATGTGCCAGCAACACACTAAAGACATATCTTCCTGTTGCTTACCCAATAATCTCTTGGCTGTCAGTGAAGGACGTTTTTACAATCAGATAATTAAATCAGAATTATCTCTGCTTATCTGATAACACATTAATGCAGTCCATTAAAGCACCTTTTACTCTCCTAAGTGTGCTCACGTGTGGCCATTTGCAATGGGAAAGAAGTGGAAAACTACCTTCAACAAAATACAATTGCAAAATGTAAAACATAGTAGTTATAATGAAGGCAATCTAAGCTTATTGCAAGGAGTGTGGGCCCATGAGTCCATGAATTATAATGAATATAAATCCATCCAAGTTAGCAATATTCCCAGGCTATGGCTTTAAACAAATCAACAAATCAATTAATTCTGCTTTACAGTTGAAATTGAATCCACCTTAGAGGGAAGATTTTTTTTTTCCAGTGAGCAAAAATTTAAACAGCATTGCCTTGATTTTTATGTATACATGCTAAAATTGCTTGGGATAATGATAAAAAACATATCAATCCAAATTCTGACAATCATCTGGAAAAGGAAAGTAAATAATAACAACAGCAATGTTGATATACATCACAGTGAAGAGAAGTCAAAACTATAATAACGAAACAAATGATAATAGTGATGGTGATAAAAAAGGTGACATTATACTTTAGTATATGTAATGCAGACAATAGTACTGACAGCAATATGAATAATATTGATAATAATAATAAAATGGTAATGAATGAAATGAAAACAGCATTCAAAATAGTGAAGATATGAAAGGTAACTATATCAATTAGTAAAGCTAAGAGAAATGATTATAATGATTTAAAGATATAATAATAATAATAATGATAATAATAATGATAATAATAATAACAATAATAATAACAATAACAACAATAACAATAACAATAATAACAATAACAATAACAATAACCATAACCATAACCATAACCATAACAATAACAATAACAACAACAACAACAATAATAATAATAATAACGATAACGATAACGATAACGATAACGATAACGATAACGATAATGATAACGATAACGATAACGATAACGATAACGATAATGATTATAATAATAATAATAATAATAATAACAATAATAACAATAATAATAATAATAAAATAATAATAATAATAATAATAATGATAATAAGATAATGATGATATGGATAATAACAATGATAATAACAGTGATAATGCTAATAATAATAATAATAATAATAATAATAATAATAACAATAATTGCAATAATAATGATACTGATGATACTACTACTACTACTGCTAATCATAATAATGTATTATCATCATCGCCATCATCATGATAATTTTCATATGAAGAACAACTCAATCAGTAACAATAATAACAATAGGAAACAAATGATAATGATGAAATGATCACCTTTAAAACGCAGTCCATTTTAATATGTCATTAAACGAACTTCACAATAAGTGATACTGCAAATCATCAGTAATATTTTATATATCTAATCTATATGAACATACTTGTGGTTAGTTGTACTCCTGTCTGTATTTTTAGTTTATTTTTTGGTTTCCCATTTTCCTTCTTCACTGCCTTTTCCTCTCCCAATTCTTTCTGCATCTATTTATTTATCTATCTGGATGCCTATCTATCTATCTCATCTTTTTTTTTGAAAAAGAAACTCACTCTCTTTGTCTTCAGTACATGCATTTCTATATCTACTCCGACTTAAATATATAAACATGACAGTGTAGTGCAGCAGCGTGTCCAAAGTTCCAATTCTACTCGATAAGACAAAGAGAACCTGATTAGATCGCATAAAAGGAACGACAAGGGTTAAAATATCATGAACTATTACCGTCGTACCCTTTGGTGTGTCATATGAGCTTTGTTTGTTTGTTTTTTTCCCCTTCACGTATCCGTTATATAAAAATCCGTACAGAGAAGTCTTCATATCTTAAAAAGAGAAAGTGAGAGAAACTAATGTGACGCATTTTCGTCTTCTTCGATCTCTTGAAAAAAATCGATGGAATTGTATTCGTATTTTTAGTCAAATAATTTAAAGTAATTTAGAAGACGGAGAGAAAACAATAGATGAGTAATATAATAATCTATGCTGTGTAGATTAACTCCCTAATTTTCCCTGTACATGTGTATTTACAACCATTAGCATTGAGAAGGATAGCCTACTATCAGTAAAAACAATTTTTATATAACATCCATATATTTAATGAAAAAACTGTAAGAATTATCTGCCTTTCGAAGTTCACATTGAATATATATCTTTATCTATCTTTCTATATGTGTGCACGTGCGTGCATGTGTGTGTGAATATGTCTATCTATCTATCTATCTATTTCTATATGTGAACACACACACACACACACACACACACACACACACACACACACACACACACACACACACACACACACACACACACACACACACACACACACACACACACACACACACACACACACACAAATGCTGTTTCTTCCTTTTTTACAAGCTCTTGATATACCTTGGTATACTCTTGTACCCTTAAACATTACAACAGTGACCTGCGTAACTTTTTTTCTTTCATTTTTTTGAATTAGCTTAATTACTTGATGCATCGAACATACAACCCCACGCACGAACGACCTTATGTGCGTGGTTTTCGTCCCAAGCCCTCCTTACAATTATGGGGCAACATTGACCTATTTGTCTCTCTGTTTGGTGCAATAAAATTAGGAATTGTTATCGCGGAAATATAAAACACATCGCGTCGCATCGAATATTTGAAAAATTAACACTGCGAAAATTTAAGACCCAAAATAAGATTGTTTTCCAGATGTAAATGCGTATCAGCTGAGTTTTATTTTATACAAAAAAATTTAGATACAAAGTGAAAATTCAATATCTATACCTGTATTTACATAACTAAATAAAGTTTATTTGTGATCCTCTGTTTGCAGAAACCAAATATCTACAACTGCGCATTTCTAATGTTTCTTAAAATATATTTTATCGCAGGGAAGTTACACATTTGAGAATTTGCTCTATCGTTTATCTTTGCCAAACTGAAATCACGTTGTTCCTGGACATATATTGCAAATGTGTTAATTTCGTTGCATAAAAAATAGTCGGCTAAATTAAACGCTTAGAATGAAAGTAACAACAATGACTCACCCATCGTACTGTAACTGCGATAAAAAGAAAAAAAATATATATATACATTAGACTAAAATCACAAATGATGCAGGATGACATGAGCAGGGAATTACATATTCTAAAGAAAGTATCCATGTATTATTTCATATCCTAACTTATTACTTGAAGAACACAGCAGGTATTTATGTGAACAGTTTATATTTAGCTTTTTTTTTCTATTATCACACGATTATGTCCGTTTACTTTCTTTGGACCCAAACATTATGGAGTTAATCACACTTTAACCGCGAACTATCGCGCTACATAGTGACATCTTTGTGTATATTATCAGATATGATATGGACATGGCGCTTTCATGTTCGTGGCAAATATTACTGACTGCGTCCTGATATCAAGATAATGAGAGTCAAGATAACCTAGAACCCTGTATATAAGCGGTATGCTTTTGGACGGCACAGTTTACGTTTCACGAGCCTCATAGATACATTGCTGTTAAAACCTGAATATCATAAAGGACAACTTTAAAAGTGTTTCTTTCCGGTGTTGTTCACGGGCTTGTTCCTGAACAGCAAGTGATGGAGAGAAGCGGAGTGATATTTCAACACCGTGATCTACTGTCTCGAGAACTTCGGAAAGTTAGATTTAAAGAAAGACATTATCCCTTTTGTAAAAATGGGTCGTAAAATCGGAGAAATTTCTGTTGAAGTGGTCGAATTGGTGCAGGAGGTGGAGCAACAGAAAAAAGACGTGAAAATTACGTGTTACACTTCAACTACTAACACTGACGCCACTCGAAAACCATCTGGCGTCAAAGGATGTAAGTATTTTCCTTTTAATTATAAAGGTGGTCAATGACTATATTCTATACGTGTTGTAGCTCTTAATAATCCTCTTGTACTTTACCCAAATAAGTAACTGTAATTCCGTATATTATCTGCTATGCATCATATCGAAATACCCATTAGAATTGTATAAATCCAAAGATATACTTGCCTCCATTTCAACGAATGTTATTTAGACTTATTATAATCCAGGCAGAGCATCCACCAGACGAGTGGGCGACATATAATCGACAGGATCCACGCCCAGACTGTGTGGCAAGACTACCTTGGCCAATCCCAGAGTCTACAGCTGACGACGCGGATGTGAACGCCATCTCTACGTCTGCTTTGGATCACGGAACAATGGAAGCCACTCAGCCTCTTCTTTAGACGACGCTCCTACGGTGTCCAATCTCTCGGTCCACCTGGTCAGCGCAAGGGGCCGCATTTGCCAACGCAGCCAGTGACAGCCTATAGTAGTCTGGGGTCTAGTCGGCCTTATGTAGCCATGTGTATTCTACATTTTTTCAACCTCAAATTGAAATAACTGAGCTTAAAACGATTTAAAATGATTTAACTGAAAACTAATGAGGGTTAGTCTAAAGCGTCTGGAGTTGAATTTGAAATACCATTTAGAATGGCTGAAATTTTATTTGAAGTAACTCAGGGTTAAATTAAAACATCCGAGGTCAATCTATAAGAAAAGTGAAGTTTATTCTAAAACATCCCATGTAATTTAAAAGACCTGATGTTTATTT